ATTATGATCAATGTGATACTAAATTTTTTTAAATTCAAAGTATTACAAATTACAATATTTTTTTCATAAAAACTGATACAGCACTTATCTAAATTTAAACATAAATATATTTTTAATATATTATTTACAATTATTATTTTATATAAAAGATATATCAATTTATAGATTATAATAATATCTCTATTAATCTGCATTGTTAATATCTTGTTTTCCTAGTTTTCCTAGTTTCAATTAAGCTTAAATTATTAACAAAATAAAAAAAAGTTATTACAATTTCCCTACCTACTCGATCGAAAATATATCAGTTTTTTATTCATAAATTGTAATGTTATTATTTATTTATGTAACATTTTTTATTATTTTATTATTTTAGCCAAATTTTTATATAATATGTTTATATCCTTTTATCCGTATTCTCTTCTCAATTAAAATTTTATTAACATTTTAAACGCAGATTTAAGAATTTTTAATTCTTAATTTATAACTTTTTGTTTTATTTGTTTAAATTTTTGATATTTCTACCTACTTAATCGAAAACTCATCAAAATTTTCAAAAATTGTAATAATATTTATAATAATAAATTATTTACCCAAATTTTTATAGTATCCTTATAGTATTTATCTGTATTATTTCTTAATTAATGTTTTACAATTAATATTTTAAATAGACTCACATCATAAAGATTTTAAAATATTCAATAGCGATAAGAATAATCGTATAACATATAATTCTATGCAAAAATCTAATTATGAAGGATTTTATAAAGACAAAAGAATATTTACCATTCATTATCTTTATTGTATATGTATTGTATGTATATGTATATATATATATATATGTATATAAATACGAATATATTGATAAATGTATATACTGTATCTAATGTTAATGTTTATTAATATTTTATTTTATAAAAATGTAAAAAGTTGTGTAATTATGAAATTTTATCATCTGTGGGTAAAGTTTTATTAAGTACAAGAACGGTTGGATTGATTCCGATGTTTCGTCATGAAACTTTGCTAAGATAATTTCTTTTACAATTACGAAGGTATATACAGAGCTAATTTTGCAATTTAGCTCTTAAATAATTAAAATAAATGTAACTATCTACTCCTTATTTACAATGCAGATATATATTTGAGTACATCTATATATCATCTCGTAAAAGCAATATTCTGCCATGAGCCTTTTTCTACGTATTTTTTATAAAATTATGACTTGCTACAGAGCAGAATTTTGCAATTTTGCTCTTAAAAAAAAATTTACAATAGATGAAAATATTTGCACCTTATTGTCCTTTAGTGCAAATCTATTTACGCATAAAATGAATTATTTATTTTCACACATTTTCTTACAAAAATAGCTTTCGTCAGGCAAATATTCTGATTATAAATATCATAATTATATAGCTTTTCTCGCAATATTTTGGCTGTAATATGGGTGAAAAGGAATTCATCTCCGATAGAGGTCTCTATAATCTCTCTTGCCGACCTTTAAGAGAGACATAACACTTGTCATTTCGGAATCTGTCTAGATCTGTCATTACGTTATCGCAAATGCGCATTTCTCGTTAGAACTTTGATTTTTACATTAAAAAAAGTAAATCTCAAAGGGACAATTATTACTGTCCTACTGCCAGTTAGTTTTTAAAAAATGTATAAATCAAATCAAGAACCGGATATACCCGCAGCATTGGGTTTGTTATCTCATTTGGATAATGATGAATTGAAGGAACTACTAAATAACGATGGCAAATTCGAAGATATCGTGAAAGATATAAAACAGGTAGGAATACAGTAGAAGATATCGCTTCTGAATAATTAGATGGCAGATACATCATAACATAAAAAAAAGCCTAATAAATCTAATGCACAAGAGCTTTACAGATTCCTAAATAATATATTCATTCCTTTGTAATTAAAATTCTTCATTCTTTCATTATGATTAAACTTGCAATAAAGAACATCTCATGAGGCAATATTATTTTACATCTATAATGCGTCTACATATACGATTACTTATAAAAATATTACATATAGATATTACATATAGATTACATATAGCTGAACTTATAGAAATATTTGTACCATTACATGTCAATTATAAATTAATCTTAAAAACTAATCTGTTCATTCTTATTAAAATGAGACTATTTTAATATAATGAAAAATTAGTTTAAAGATTTTGAAACTGAGAAGGAAATGTTAATGGCGAGCAACAGATCTCTAGCTGAGTTTAATTTGTCTAAACAACCTGAATTGGAAGAGAACAAACAGATTTTAAAAGAATTAAGTGAACAAGCCAATCAGTTGTGTATTAGCGTCAAAGATAAATTAGATGAGATGCGTAAGTAGCCTTTCAGACATTGATTTTTAACAAAAAAAGATTTATTTTTAAGTCATATACATTTATTTATTTATTTATATTTAATTATTTATATCTTTATTCACAGGTGATAAGTCTGGTACAATGACTGTTGATACTGCACTTGACTTGTTGCAAGCAGCTGCTGCTGAAATCGAAGAAGAATCAGAGGTAAACTAAATTTTTGTTATTTTATCTTATTTGATGAGAATATTTAACTTTGATCTTTCATGTACAGGGAATAGCAGAGAAATTCTTAGCCGGTGACATCGAAGTAGACGAATTCTTGGATCAGTTTTTATCGCGAAGAAAACTGATGCATTTGCGTAAAGTAAAAGTAGATAAATTACGAGAATTGATAAGAAAAGGACATTCAAGTACTCCTGGTTACTCAATCGCTTCAAATTTTCCTGGAATGAGACCCGCTATACCATATCCAACTGGACCAGTAGCTATGCCGATGCCATTGCCAAGTTTACCAGCTTATACATCATATTAATATAAAAAAATTACGTCATATTTGTTTCTGCGATACGTTTCATCAGTCGCGTGCAATATATCTGATATTGATGTTCTTTACATATTACATCTCTTATATATATTGTATATTGATTATTCACTATTTTTTATACTAAATAATGTGTTGTGCGACATATCATGCAGCAAGCGAGCTATATGTTACATATTACACTTACCTAAGTTATATTATTTATTGATAATGTTTTAGGATGCCAATATCCTGAAATATTATCTATACATCATGAGATATTTGGATAATTGTTTTTAAATACAGATGCAAAATCAATGGCTTGTTAACAAAGTTCATAGTATATAGCAATTTTTTTAAGGAGTATACGAAAGAATATCGTCGGCATCGTTTTTCATCACATGATCTATTTAATATTGTTTTTACTTGATTAATAGACATAACAATAAGCAAAAAATAAAATTTGTACATTCATTACTGGAACGTAGATACTATTCAATTAAATAAATATGAACTAATTTCAATTATCGTTATTTTCTTTCTTGTCTTTGAGATGCTGGTACATCAGGATTTTTCCTCCAAAGACTTCCAAGAAAAATATAATGATCAACACTACAATAGTAAATTCAGTATACTGAGAATGTTCATCTTTATTTTCCATTTTCTGCATGTGTTTATAATTCTCATATATCTGTCTTCTCTTGTGTTTCTCATGCATTTGTTTTCCATAGTGTGCCTCTGTCCATGCATCAAAATTATAAATTTTTGACGTCCCTGAATAAACCTTATGCTTAGAAAAAGACATGGGTTCTTCTGTAGCAGTCGACATGGGTTGATGATGTAGCAACATACTTCGATCATAAATCTTGCGCTGCTCATGATTACTGAGCACTTCATAAGCATCCGAGATATCCTGAAACTTTTGTTTGGCATACTCGCTTTTGTTCTTGTCAGGATGATATTGGAGAGTCAACTTGTAATACGCAGATTTCACTTCATTCTGAGTAGCATTCGGCGTGATCTTCAATGTATCGTAATGATTTTTCAATTTCGCTTTAATATTTTGATTTGTCGAATAAAACCGTGTTAATTGCAATTTTGTGGAGTGCAGCATATTAAATTTACTTGAGGATTCCAGAGCGACATGCATATTAAAAATCGAATATAAAATATATAATTAATTCAATATAATTCATTCTAATTTTTCTTTCTTCTTAAAGTATTATTTCGATAGGAGATTACTGTAAGACTACAATGGTTAGTCGCTATTTGCAATCTTGCAGATTTGAGATCCGTTGCATACAGGTTGTAAAATGTTCTGAAACGATACATGTCAGTGAAAAATTTGATTCTGAGATTCATCACTCGATTACGTATAGGATATAGCATTTGAGATTTGAGTGAATATTTTTCAATTTGAACCATAAATTATTACGTTACGTCAACAATTGCTTGTATTAATAACTTACTGCTTAACATCCTAAAGTTCATGCTGAGGTTATATAAAAGTGTCGCACGGATATTTAAGGTTAAGGTTAAGGATTATGACAGACGGATAATCAATAAAATGATTGACTGCAAAGTGTTGCAAATTTTGCAATGCAAAATGAATTTCTTGACTATAAGATAAAAAAAAATGTGATAGGATTCAAGATATAGTAAAATGAAAGAAATTTCTCATATCTATTATTTTTTATATATTATATATCAATCCTTTATTCCGTTTATTTTGTTTATTATATCGATCTGAGGTCCATTAAATTTATAGAGAAAAGAAATAAAATCGGTATATGTCTACAATATAATGGATTGGCTCTTTGAACATAAAAGCATTTCATTTATTATCATTTATTTATAGTCGAAGGGTTAGGGATCTGATTGCCTCGAACTAGGGGATCCCTAGTAGGAATTGCGATTGGAATTTCTTAGAACTCTCAATAAGGCTTGTTCTACAATGCGTCGTGTGTCGGTGTCGCAAGCCACAAGCCACAAGAATTGATCAATCACAGACAAATGTGGGGAGAATACTTGATTGTGATTGGTCCATTCTTACAACCCACGACACCGACGCATTGTAGAACAGGCCTAAACGGGCCTTGCCATTGGGCAATAGACTAGATGGGATTTCTTCCAATTCTCTAGCGGGAGGAATGAGGTGGAGGGTGGTCGGAGCAACTTGCGCATGCGCGAGTTGCTATTTCGTTGTAAATGCCTGATCCATACTGTTCTTTCCGACTTGCTGGCGGCGGTTGGCGGTTCCACGGAGTTTCGTGCGGGCATCGCGCTCCAAGGCTTCCCCTCACCTTTTACCTCACGACGAATCGTTAAATCGTAAGCGGCCGGGACGGTGCGATTGGGATCTACGACGACGACGACGTTTGCGATGCCCGCACGTGACGCGTAAGACAATCGTCCCTTCACGCGTTACGAGCGAAACGGATGTTCATTACCGACACGTCATACGGGGTACACCGTTCGCGTGAGAACTCGACGGCTGGGTGGCGACGGTGGGCAACAACCCGCCGATCTACATCCGACGATCGATCTGACTGATTTTCACGAT